CTGAATGTTCTGAACTCCTCCTTCAATGTCGGTGTTGTATTGAGCAAAATGCTGTTGCTTGTAATCGCAGAGGTCCGTGTGGCTGTAGCTCGACTTTTCCATAATCTGAGGTCGTGTTCTTTCGACAGCGGATGTGAGCGGTGCGCTCCGTTTGGCCTTAGTTGTAATCGTTTACTGGAATCGATTATGGTGCCCATCCCTAACACTGACTACAACATATTAAAAGACCGCTAGATACAAACGTATACTTTATTCCTCCAACTGCAGTGGACGTCAGTCTTGTCGACATGTCCCATATAGATGGACGTTGAATGATGCAAATTGACCTCAACATGGCCCGGCTGAGGTTGCGGCACACACACACACACACACACACACACAACTCAAGAGCGTGTATGTCATAAATGCTTTTTGCAAAGATGTGTTGACTACACCTTTGGTAGTCATCATTCGTGGCTTGAAGAAAACTGCCAGCCAGTAACCAAAGAATGGCGACAAGTGTCAAAGTCTTCATCCATCTCAGCCTTACTCTCCCTCCACTCCACTGAATATCATTCAAAGGGAGCAAGTTTTGCGCTGTCAGCATATTCGAAATACACTTTTAATAAAGACAAAGCATATTTTTTTTGTTGTTTTTGTTTTCACTAGTAGGCCTTTACAAATGTGATGCTGCCTTCTTAAAGTTTTATATTTTCTATACATTATTTTACATTATTCACAACATTTTTGTGGTGTCTACCCATTGGGTAGGATATGTGCATAATATATATTCAAGTTATATACAGCACCTTACAAACAAAAGACAGACTACTGAAAAAGCACCGTTGGAAGTGAGGCACAACGAAGGTGGGAGCTTTTTGAGTGCAAGTGGGTTCCTATGTCTGCTCCGCACACGCACGCAGACGCACGTCCGCCTACTGGTTGAAATGCTTCCAGCTGCTTCACTGTGAAGGGGCTCAACTCGTCTCGTGAGCGATGCTCGTATTATGAACTCGGGAGGTCGACGTGCTCAGGTCAGGTCGCGCTGCGCAGAGGTGAAATGTGGCGTTCCGCGTATGGCTCGCGTTCAGGCGGAAGATTCCAAGAAAGCACAAAAAAGGTGCCTTGCTGTAGATGGAGGCCATATTTGGATGGGGATCAGCATGCGGACTGGTGCGCGTTAGCATTCTTTCTGCCTGCTTTCAGAGAGCTGGAGCACCCTTAGTAAAGCAGCTGTAAAGACTCCAGGGCAGCAGTTGGACCCTTGTGGTCTGCTCAAACATGAACATTAGGCACCATTTTTTTTCTTTTTTTTTTTTAAACTTACATCATTGTAACATGCAAACCTCCTTGTAGAAAACCAAGTTAATCTTTGTATCCCCTATTTACAAGCCACGGCAGAGTAAGACAGAAGAAGCGAAGAAGAAAAAAAGAGCAAAAACAAATCAACTTTGAAGCAGCTCCCCCCCAGTCAAAGGCCCAAACACGTCGGGAAAACTGTGTCACCAGTGAAGAAAACGAGTGATGGGATTTCCTTCTTTTCACATGAGTCCAATTTTGGTCCCAATATGGAAACCTTTGACTGCAGAGTCTGAAACCTCTTATGTTTTGATGGCTTGAGGGAGGGGGCGGGGTGGGGTGGAAGGCTCGACAAGCAGCAGTAGCAAAGAAAAAAAAAACAAAACAAAAAGCAGTAGCAGCAATAGCAGCAGCAATGTGGCACACACACGCACGCACAAAATGAGAAGGCCTTCATTCAAACTGATGAGATGCATGAGCGTTTAGCACTTCAGCATAACTTGAACTCTCGATTCATTAAGGCCGCCATGCTGATATTTTTGGAATAGACGTGTTGCACGAGGTGACATCAAAGGGCGAAAGAATCTTCGATACGGGCTCTTTGCTTCACACTGGTTGTGATATCCAAAGTGTGGAGGGGACGAATGGCGCGCTCGGAACTTGATTGCGCAGTGGCCTAAGATTACACGCGACAAAATGGAGGAGGAGCCCCTGTAGTCGGATGTGATGTTTTGATGTGGATATTGCAGTGCCATTCTTTGGATAGACAACAACTTGCCCTATGGGGCAAAGAAACGATTGAGTCCTGTGTAGATGTTCGAAAATGAGATTAGTAGGGCTATGTTTAAAAAAAAAAAATTAAAGTGGGTCAATATTATTTTCTATTTTCTGAGGGGAGGCAAATATTTGCACAAATGTGGATGCTGAAAATAGAGAAATGAAACAAACGAGAACAAGCTTCCAACTAGCATGTGGTGCAGGATACTTCCGTGAGGACAAGTGCAACCTATAGACTGCGGCATGCTTTTTTTTAATTTTTTTTTCCTTTCATCAATTTTGCTATAATCGCTCCCATCATGCACCTCTGGCTTTGTAAAGTGACACTCTGAATTCTAATGAAGGCTTCATTAATTCGCCGCTAATGCGGACAAGGGCCAAATGTCCTTGAATGTCGAAACTTTGACAAAGCAACCCAAACACACAAGAAGCATGTGCACACGCATACACACACTTTGCTTCAGCAAACGCATCAAGTGCTTTTCTGTGTTGTTAAAAGGTCTCCCCGACAGACACGCACGCACGCACACTGCAGCTAGAAGGAAGGAGACGCCTGGATGAGCGCGGTGCTCAAGCAGATCCGGTCTCCACTTTAAAGGGGCTTGGCAGACTCAGCATTATTTTCTCCACATGGATCAAAGGAATATGAAGATGAGTGTTGGCCAAAGGACAAAAAGAAAAAAAAAAGGCAGTGGAGGTGAGGAAGCAGTCGGCAGGGGACACTGAATGTTTCCAATGAAAACAAGCTCGAGAAAAGAGAAAGCACAAGAGGAGAGGAGAAGGCAACAATGAGCAGAGAAAAAGGCGACATTTTCAAAAAGTTTGTTCTCCCTTTCCAAAAAAAGGAGCCCTCCCATAGCCCTTGGACTGTTTGCACGAACTCTTGACGTCCACAGGAATCTTGGCTACGTGTCGTCTTGCTTTGATTGGCCAATGAAGAGATATGACGGAGCGTGGAGCTTTTCGTTCCAACCAGTGTCATGGCAGAGTTCATTCAGAATGCCCAGTTTGGGTGGGTGGGGGGTTCATGAGACAGGGAAGAGGAGGCGGGACGCTGCGAGGAGCAGACAGCCGGGTGGACGGTTGGCTTTTCATGACCACGTAGTTGCATGTTTGATGGTGAGCACGGCTATGCAAAAAAAAGTACCACTGTCATTTTGGTGCAGATCCAGATAAAGGTCACTTTTGTCAACATGAACAAAGGTCCTTTTTTCTGGGATTGATGTAGAAGTCATCTTACCAATACAATTCAAGCATTTAAAGGTCAAGTATGAAGTAAATTTGGCCAACCATCTTTTGAGTGATACTTAGGGCTCATACTATTTCAAGCATACTTTTTTTTTTGGGGGGGGGGTTGTTTTTTTACAAAACCCACTCAGGATCATAGGTAGACCCATAAGCAACGCGCTGAACAAGGAAAACGCTTCTGTTCGACAACCTCCGGCGAGTGACGTCGTACAAAAGGCTCAGAGTCATTGATAATTTTGGAGTATTATCAGGATTGTAATTTGCATCGATCGTGCCTTGCCTTGTGTTACGATGTTGCCCCCCTGTTGTGCAAGTGCAAAATTACGTTGACGCTGCGTTCCCTACAAATGAGCAGTTTAGGAGTCGGGAAGAGGGTGCGGGTTCGTGGAGTGGTTTTGTGCACATCGAAGGTCATTAGCTTTAAGTTTGTGAAGTTTGCCAAAAAAAACAACTCTGTCTTCCGTCTCCTAAACTCGCCTTCGATCGCATCTGTCATTCATCATGCAGGTAACAATGCTGCCGATATAATGTGCAGAGTGGCCTACATCGCAACAGGACTACCTTAGCAATGACAACGTAAGACGCTAACCCACTATGATGTCCGCTCTCAGTCCTAGCGGGAATACACGGACCAAGCAGGTAATCCCACCGTGCGCAATTTACAGTACGGCACAGCATCATTTTTCAAACAATAACGCTAGGCTAATAACTGCAGCCTCTATATGTAAACTATTTCTTCTTCCAATCCCGATGGGTCTCCTTTCCAGTCCATGTCCGGCCATTCGGGCACAACATTTTCCGCATCCTGAGCAACTGGCTCGTCCATGTATGGTCTAACACACATCTTGGCAACAACCTCCTCTTCCTCCAACTCTTCAAACACCCGGATCCCCTCAGTTGATTTTGAAACATCATTCCCGAATCCATTTCGGAGTAGCTTTGTACATTTTCCATATAGAGCCCTGCTATTGTTTTCCTTAAAGTGACGTCACACTTCCGGGGTTGTCGCTCACCAGGATCGCACTTCAATTACTTTGCCGAATTTACGAAACGAAACGAAAAATAATTTTTCATGCTTTAAAAAAAAAAAGTTTATGACATTACTTGTGACACAAAAATATTTCATTTGGGATCTTGTGGAATTACTTCACACTTGACCTTTAAGGTGTTAGGTGTCAAATTTGGATGGTTTGATTTTTCACTTGGAAGAGAACGTCTCACAGCATGTCGCGAGGTGATTTTCAGTCTTGGAGAGTTTGTCCACCCAGCTGCCCATCAACAATTCAAGTCTTCTGCCCTCACTGGCTGAGGCGTATTTCACCCAAATAAAGCATGGCAGAGTTGTTGCAATCCAGTCTCATTGTGCCTGTGGGGAAAGCAGACCGAGATGTGGTAGGCTGGGTATTAACTATTTGTTGACGCTTCAAAAAAGGAAGGACATAAGCTTATAATACTTGGTTTTTGCTCCCAAACACCTTTGGAGCTGAAGTTCAGTCACTCGATCCATTTGTGAGACAGAAACTGAAATTAAACACATAATTTCCCTCTTTAACAACAAAAAGATAGTGCAACTTTTAGATAACTTCTATTTTTCAAAGTCTGTCTTTAATCCTCTCCCTGTGTTTTGTTTCCTCGTGAACCTTGGCACTAAGATTTCCGTGTGTGTGTGTGTGTGTGTGTGTGTGTGTGTGTGTGTGTGTGTGTGTGTGTGTGTGTGTGAGTGACTTGTTTTGTTTAGGTCCTTTGATTCTCAGTCCTGGCTTTGTGCACAGATCCCGGTCCAAAAAAAGTGGAACAAAAAAAAAAAAAAAAAAAGGAGGGAAAACGTCATCCTCCATCCCTCCAGATAAGGTTGCCACCAACGGGGATGAGGGAGGATTTTTAAAAAAAAGTTTCAATCTGTGTCCTAGCTTTTTCTGCTGAAGACAAACACCAAAAACAAACAAACAAAAAAAAAATCCAACTCCTTGCACATCACAATCCTGCCCCAGCAGTGCTTGCTGAGCAGTTTGTAACAGCAGAAAGAGACAGAATCAAAATCAAAACTGATGTCCTCTCTTTCCTTGCTGTATGTTGTGCACGGGAGTGTGAACAGAGGACCGAGAGAGAGGGACCAAGGTCTATGGTTGGTCCCGCTCACGCCAGGTCCTCCGGTTGGCCGTCCTTCGTCTTGGAAGGTTCAATTGTGCTTTCCGATTGGCTCTGCTGCTGGATCATTCCGCTTCCGGGGCCCCCGCACTCCACCACCCTTTGGTTATTGCTTAGCTGGTGAAGAAAGAACGTCGAGCCAATCACTTCGCTGTAGGCGGGCGGGGGGGCTTCCGTGCGCCCGTGGATATTAGAGTTGGCCACACTGATGCCGGAGTTACTGCTCGGTGGCCTGGGACCGCTCGGCCCTCCGCCGCCCCCCATGTCGATCAAGTCGCTGTCGTAGATGGTCCGGTTAGGCGGCGCCCTCACTGATTCCCGATTGAGCTCCATCTGCTGCTCGGGGTCGCGAAGCTGCAGGGTGCAGGGTCCCTGGTACGGCGGAGGCTCCTCGCCGTCTGACAGCGAGATGGTGGGTGGCAGGTCAATCTGGTGTTGCAGGTATGGATAGGTGGGCTGGAAGCGGCTGAAGCGGTCTCTGTGCATGAAGGCGGGGGCGCTGAAGCGATCCCTGGCCTGGGGAGCGTACAACACCTAGGAGACAAAAAGAATGGTTCGCTGAGTAAGTGCACCTTTTAGGTGAAAGTGTCCTTGCTGCAACCAAGAGCCGCACATTGGCTCTGCAGTCCGACTTGCGCGGGAACATTGCGGTTCATTTTTGAAAAGACAAGTCCAAGGACAGAAATGATTTATTTTTTTATTTTTTTAAGAAATATTTTTCAGCTTGTCCCCTATCTAAAGAAAGGCCTGGATCTCAAATAAAAGAGGCTGAAATAAAACCAAATAGGATTTCTCTTGCCAAGGGAAGCATGCCACAATGCACTGCAGTCGTTCTCCATCTGCATTAGTAGATCAATTTGCGGAAGGATTTCACAAGCACATGTGCCAAAGTTTCATGGAACTCGGTCGTGTGGTTTAAATAATCCTGCTAACAGGGAGACAGCGATCAAAACAGCACCGCTCGCTTTTGCTCTTGGCAGAGGAAATAAGACGCAACTCAAAAGCTTTGTGCAAGATGTTGCTTACGTGAAGAATGAATTCACTACAACCTCAACATCAAAGACCTGAGGGCTGCCCTTCAAGAAGAGTGGGATGCCATGCCTCAGCGGACAATAAGTCGACTTCTAAATAGCATGAGACATCGTCGCCAAGTTCTAATTGATGCTCATGGGCACATGACGAGCTATTGAGACTGATTTTTTTTTTTTTTTTGTTCTGGTGTACCCACCATTGTTAACTTTCGTTTCAATGAAATGTTTGAGATGAGGATTCTTTCTAATTAAATATTCTACTTTTGTGATGTATCACTGTAGAGTGAACATTTTAAGATTTTCTATAAATTTCACCTGAAAGCCAAATATCCTCAACTTTTTTGTGAATAGTGTATTTTAATAGTTGCTGGAGGGCTTAGAAAAGTCAGTAATTTGCCCAACATTGACTTTGCTTTTGTGAAGTCATTTCACTGTGCAGCCATGTCATTAATGCACGAAGTGCGAATCAATGGGGATATTATATATTATATTTTGAACATTGAAAGCCCCTAAAAAAAATTCTGACAAACTCAAATGAATGACTAAAATTGATGAATCGCCTTGCCCTACAATTAGCTACACTGCCAGCAAGTTGAATAATGATGCACGACATCTTGGTAACATTTCATTCGATTGACTGATCATACCATGTTATGAGTAGCGTACAGTAGGGGTCCCCAACCTTTTTTGCCCCACGGACCGGTTTATGTCAGACAATATTTTCAGGGACCGGCATTTAAGGTGTGGCGGAAATAATACAACAAAATAATATGGTATGAGCTGCATTAAAACTGTGGTGTTTTCGAAATATAATAATAAACACAAGGAGCGTCTAATCTTGCCGCAACACTCCAATCGCTATGGCAATGTTTAATGCCTTCAAAATACGATACAACGCAAATTCAAAGTGCATGAAAATGACGACTCACCACAGCACCGAGCTTGATTTTCTGCAACCAGACGGTCCCATCTCGGGGTAATAGGAGAGACAATGACACCGCAAGTGTGTGGTTTATGTCCAGTCTACTTCGTAATTTTGTTTTCGTCGCCGTTGCTGCATAATCCCCCCCCGCCTCACACAGGTAGGATGTCGGAAATAGCAAAAGTGCTATTGTGGCGATCTCAGAGTATTTAGACATAACTTTAATCCAGTTGTCTCGAACGTACTTTTAAGGCCGCCGTCATTTGCGATCTCCAGCAGTTTTTTTACTCATTTTGCGAGCTCCGGTGTTTGTTTTTAGCCTAATTGGCCGCGTTACGGAGAAGCGTGGCTTGACGTGTGTCAAGCTGGACACAGACGGATGTAAAGGAGAATCCGGTAATTTTTCAAAATAGACCGGCGGTTGGGGACCCCTGGCGTACAGTACCGCTTGCAACGGGCAACATTGCTGGAGAGATCTGAGCAAATACTAAAGCATTTGTTTCACCTCATCTAGACTCTCTTATTTTTTCCTTACCTTTTTAAAAACATCTACTTTGGTGAGCTGCTTTTTGAGGGAAAACCTTTCAATGAGGCATTTTGTCTAATACACCCCCGCAGACAGGTAGTCTGGATAGAGGGTGGCTGATTGGAAAATTATAAAAGGCGGCGGGGGGTAGGGAGCACAGGAAAGGATGGGGCTATTTGAAATATGAGAAAGACAGTACAATGGAAGTAAAACAATAAAAAGGAGGCAGTGAAAGCTAAATGAGACATGGACGCCGCAAACGGAGAGCAAGCAGAAACAAAGGTGAGAGACAAAGAAGGAAATAAGAGATGGAATAGGGAAAAATAGCAGGAACCATAGAAGCAGACTAGACAGATTGATAGACTGGGGGTGGAGGGGAGAAAGGTGTGGAGCTGATCAAGGGAGCAGAGCGCAGCAGAGCAGGGCAGCTCCCAGACGGCTGTCTAGACAGTGTCAGGGGAGGCGCTGCTGATTAATGACGCACCAAACACACACGCGTCCATACACACGCACGCTCCATGGCCTTTAGCGCTTCACGCCAAAACTATTACGACGCTCCCATTGTTTAATGTTTGTTGACACGGAAGGCTTTTGGGTGCCGGTAATGGCAACCAAGACAAATGCATTGGTGGAGATAAAACCCAGGCAATATTCACCCGGTGGAACTTCCCGACAGCGTCACTTCTCTATGCAACGAGTCAATTGTCATCGTCATAATTGTGTGCTGGAATCCCTCTGGAGCTGTTTGCGATACACCCAGTATGTCTCCTCCCATTGCCATTTACAAGTGGCTCCGTCTGGCAAGGACCACTTCAGGCAAGCGGATCAACCGTCACAGAGACTCCACTGGCATTTGTTTGTCTTTGAGAAGATGCCAGACAAACCGGTGCCATAGTTGTATCTGGCGCCACTTACAAAGCATTCCTTGTTGATTAAACATTGACGTGCAACGACAGTAGTGAGGCCAATATATTTGTGTCGTGACTTAAGTGAACGATTTTTCGGTGGTGGCATTCAACACAGTATTGCTGATTATTCATTCAGACGTACTGAAGAGTTACACACAAAATCATCTCTTCTCTAAAATGACTCAATCAAGATGTTTTTCTATCATGCAAATGTTTAAAAAAAAGTTGCATTCTAACAGTTAAAACCCATTTTTAAGGATAGCCAAATCTGACCCCCCCAAACCCCACTTTTTTTTTTTTTTTGCTGCGGTTGCTGTGTTGAAATGTGAAATTCAACGGCACAGCATAAAGATGTCAAAACAAAGGCTCTACAATTATTCATGCTTTAACACAAATCCACACATTTAGCATGATACCGATGCCAAGTGTTGACAATGGCAGTCCATGTACTTTACATCTTGGCATGCTGGCGTTTGTGTGAATATGCTCTGGCTGGAAAATACCAATTCGGTCAATTAGTTCTCTTGTAGATTGTTTGAGTCTTTGTTCAGGGCTCTGTCTGCCCGCACACATAGTCTGGTAGTCTAGGTGCAGTTGAGTTCAGTGTCGCAATGTGTTACCTCTGAGGCTCCTTGTCGCGAGTTGCTGTCTGAAGGCCACAGGCACCCATCCTACGCAAACAGAACCAAAAACATTGACAATGACAATGCATCGATTGTAAAGCTATCACAAATGGGACCTACTCTTTGACCTTTCTTTGCCTGATGCCGCCAAGGTGTTCAGATGTTTTATGACATGTCATGTTATACATTTAAACGTTGGGGGCGGGCATCTCAAATTTTTAATTTGAGAAATCACGAGACTGTGAAATGAACTAAATGCTAACTGGAACAAATTAGGGAGCAGACACAAGATGAATGAAGAAAATGAATATCTGCCCTTTTCGGCAGCAAGAACCATACAGAGGTGAGCCTTGCCACATTAAAGAGAGGCAGCATGGAAGCGTCACTGATCTCAAATTCTTTCCGCCGACTGAGGATGTTTTTCGTGAAACTGAACCAGCAAGGCAGGGTTACATGGTCATTATTATAAACGAGGGCTTCAATGCTGCTCGTTTCTAAGCTACGGGCGTCGATGGTTTCAATTTCTGATGTTGCTTTTAGAGCATTTTTGTCATTTGTGGAAGTATTTTGAGTTTTGATACAATGGAGCAAAAGTGACAGGAGCGGTGAATAAAAATCTGCAAGCAGGGCTATTATTTGGTGTTTGGCGATGAAAAACGCACCAAAAGAACAGGTCATTTGCAAAGGATGACTCCGAATGTCCATCATCAAAATCCACACGACGCATGACAACACTAAGGGAACCAAGATCTTTTTTTTTATTTTTTTATCCAGATGGTACCAGGAACCTTTCAAATGGTGGACAATTTTGGAATTTCTCAATGTTCTTCCCACTGCCCCATAACATCAGTGATATAGTTCATTTCATTACTATTATTACAAAAATAGTGAAAAATACTTGTCACAGAAATGTTGATGGTCTTTTGTCACTTTTGTTTGCACGCGCCTGTCCCACTGTGTTGACATTTTATGAAAGGAGGGGAGGCGCCACAGTCTAGACGGTGCTGTGGTGAATTAAACATCAAGGCTTTATAGAAACCAATTCAGCAGTTTCACCTCACAGTTAGGAGCAAAGCGGTTTCTGCAGTGAAATATTCATTTGTCGCGGAACCGCGTTACAGGCAACAAACTGGTAAGCTTTGTTTGTCATGCTGGAAAGGAACACGTTTGAAGAACTTGTTACGAGACCGCTGAATGAGCAGAAAGAAATCCTCCAGCTCACAGCCAGCCAAGCATGTCAAAGCAGGCACACGGAAGAAGATGAGAATCAGAACAACTCGGTGCAATATTTCATTGAGCACAAAACGGCTCACAGTCAACTCCTGTGATACTGACCTGCTGCAGGGAATGGTCATGCCTACGGGCCTGGCTCTGCCTTGTTATGAAGGTGGAGAGCTTGTAATGGTTCAGAAGGCAGATGATCACCACCACCATGACTGTCATCACCACAATGATGATGATGATCTGAACAAACTCCAGTTCAGCTGCACACACGCACACACACACACACACACGCACGCACACACACACGCACGCACACACACACACACACACACACACACACACACACACACACACACACACAAGGAGAAAAACGATAGCAGCATTTCAGACGGTGTCTTGTGGATCCAAAAACAATTCTCAAAAGTCGGCATGCAAAGATATACATCAACACTATTGGGCTAATACAATTAAGGCTGCCTGTTATAACGCTTCCTTACCAGCAGGGGGAAGCATAAGTCAAATTCTACGTCCTTGAACGTATAGCAGTGCTGGGCAACTTGGAGAGGCACTCCAAATTCTTCCTACACAGACTTTGAATATGAACAACCAATCACCCCCTACCACGGTAGGAGACCCAAAACATACATACTGAATGTACTGGACCGGTATGAATATGTCACGTGAATTTCATTTATAAATGCACAATGCTTCTATTTATGAATGAACTTGAGTGAATAGACTGAAAATGCCCACATTAATAATGATTAAGTGTGCACTTGGCTGCTAACCTGTCCAGTTTATGTAACCCCGCCTCTCGCCCAAACACAGCTGGAATAGGAAACGGAATTGTGTGTTTGTGCTGCCGCAAAATCAAATCAAGCATTAACAGTCAAATTTACCAAACAAGCCATGAGGGAAAATAATGATCTACAGTCACTGTCTGTCTTTCACCAATCATATATATATATTTTTTGCAGTATTGTCAGCTAGTTCCAAAGAGTGAATTAAAAGAAAAAGTATGCTTAATTGAAAATTATTTTCTCTAAAGAATGTGACAGTGGCAGCAAAGCCTTGTCATCAGAGCAAAAAGCCAACAGTGGCGTAATTCTGTAAATAGTGAAGGAATTGTGTATTCAAACACATACTGGATGAATCGACATTATGTCATGCGTCCGCGCACCCATCGCAGAAAACTGAGGCGCGCAGTCCATGACGTGCCATCATAGACTTAATGAGGTGGTACCAGCGTGAGGGTGTGTCTCTTGCACAGAAGTCCAACAGGCCTTTCTGTAAACCTGGTATCAATATCACTTCCTCTGTTCATCTGATGTTGAAAATGTGCCAAAACTAGAAAAGCCAACTGGAAGAAAACATGGGAAAAAAATTCAAAGAAAGAAAGAAAAAAAAAACCCAAACGCGACAGCAGTTGAAAGCCTCATCTGAAACCATTTCGGAGGAAGGAAGCTGGAGGAGGAGTCAAGAAGAGAGGAAGGAAGGATGAGAGTCAAAGAAAAGAGACAGAAAAGGGGAAAACCTATCATGCCTAAAACCAACCCATACACCCGGTCCAGAGGCTCCACAACAGAGCACAAGTACTTATTCTGACAGCGGCCAAGAGAACGCTGTGTGCTGGCAGTCTGCATTACCAGCACCAGTCAGATGTTATTACAACAGTAATCCACTTGTCAAAACAATATCAGTCTGGCGTCTGTAGTGTCCTTATTCCTTTAGCGGTGTCAAAATTTTGCATTGCAAAGGGAGCCTTGGTGATTTCTTTCCTCCTGCTGGGACTAGAAAGACAACCCAGTTAAAGTCAAACGTGAAAGTATCCTTTTGCAGTGAGTGCTGACCAATATCAATCAAACAAACAAACAAACAAACAAACAAACAAACAAACAAACAAACAAACAAACAAACAAACGTCAACGAATGATCGCTGAATTGATTGAAATGCAACAGCAATATCCAAAGGGCCACATAAACATTGCTACAGTTACTATTCATGCCATTACAAACAAAAGCAGTTACAACTTAATGGTTCTTGCTGAGAAATATGAGCCTGTCAACACACACCGTCTAAAGATAGATCAGCAAATGTAAACAAAGAAGTAATGCAGAGATACTGTTGGCCTCAACTTCACAAGCCTGCTTGCTAACTTGGCTAGTGAGGGTGAACTCGGCTTATTTTTCTGGGTCTAGAGTTGTGGTCGACGGATGGAGGAACCTCTGAATGTTTGAAATAGAGGTGCAATGATTGATTCATTCATCAAAAACAAATTCAATTAAGCAATGATTATTTTGGTAATCGTTAAGACACCTTGATTTATTTCAAAGACAGCTGGGATGGCAGTGCAGAAAATGGAAGATTAACCAACACAATAACAGACGGATTAATCAATTATTAAAATAATCATTAGTTATATTTTTACAGCATTGGAAAATGTTAAGAATGTTTGTCCTACAGAAACCATATTCAAACAAAAAATATATTTTCACTCCCCCATATGTTTCCATTTTCAAACATTTTAAAAAGTTTCAAGGAGCCACTAGGCGGCACTCAAGAGCCGCATGCGGCTCCGGAGCCACGTGTTGCCGACCCCCGCCCTAGACTATACACACCAGCCAATCACAGGGTATTAAAAAAAAATAAGAAGAAAAAGAAGAAGAATATTAGTTTGGCATGAATTTCTTGATGATGCGATCATCCACAATCAATTCCACACAATTGGCAACATTCTCAAAACCCCAATCAATCCATCAATTGGTTACTATGCTCACTCCGAGTCAATGAGCCAATGACAGGTCGTTATTAATGTGAGGGAGAGCATAACAAAACAATTTGCAACAATAATCCAAATTTGGAGTTCAATTACTGGATACCAGACACAGACGAACCCATCTTCCATGGAAGAAAAAAAAAAAAAAATACAGTGACCTCATGTCATAATTTTGTCTGTAAGTGAGTGAGTGAGAGAGAGAGAAAGAGAGAGACAGCGAGAGAGCAAGAGAGGAGAGAGAGAGAGACAGACAACGAGAGCTGCAGTGTGTGTGTGTTGAGGGCCAACAAGAGGTCAAACAGTTCAATAGAGCAGTCAGTGCAAAGAGGTGGTCAATAAAGAGCAGCCACAGACTGGACAAAATCAGACCCGCGTGTTACTTCATTGGAGGAAGGCTGAGCTGAGGACTCATGGGTAGGGTTTGCAAATTATCTGTAGAAAAATCAAAACAAATGACAATAATACAAATACCCCCCAAATTATTTTCTTCTGTACATTATTATTTTGCAACCGATAAGTTAAATGAAATGGTTCACTCGCACATGCCTCTGTTCTGCATTATGTGGCCTCTTTCAGTCAAGTATCAAGTTTTAGGTGTTCTTTGAATACACGAATTATTACGCACCACTGAAATTTGACACTGCTGTTACTGATGGCAAGAAAGTGTTATATCATCTCGTAAATTACTGGTAGAAATGATTTCCACCCCTACCCCATGGGGAGGAATTATTGTGTATATTTTGTAATTTGTAGATAGTTTGCAGATTGTATGAGTCACTGCATATTGAATGTGATTGCTCTGCATAGTGCTGGCCAAAATAACAAACTACACAGTGTGACAGCAAATGGATTGCTAATAAAAGGAATGGCGAGGAAATATTTTGTTCTCACTCACTTCGGACTAACAATGGCAGCCTCACCCAATTTGGGCCTGAATAGAAAATTAGGATAACAGCTGTCCGTAGAGCTGTACACAAAAAGCCCATTCAAAACCTCTTAACAAGCAATTTAAGATCTGAGCTTGCACCTTGCACCTGACCGTAGTTACCGTCAAAACCAGTCAGGCTGGTTTGGTTTTTCAGTTTTCCCCTGAATCATAACAGTGTTTTGTCTCCGAATCAGTGGATGTATGCTGAGTGTCAAGCTTGAGCGTGCACAGAATGGACCATTAGCCACCTGCTAATTTCAGATAATCAGACAGACTGAAGCCCACCACTGGAGCCAAAGAATACGCAGCCCAAAAACCCAATAAAGCAGTCTAAGGAATCACAGTAACAGATGGCAAATGGGGAAAATGCAGCCCATCAGTAAACCACAATGCTTGACCATTCAGAAATAGAAAACTTGTTGCACCGACTGGTGATTGCCTCTGGTAAACAAGTCAAAAGATAAGTCATTAACGGTGTTTCTTTAAATGTTGATCGTTTGTTTTCAAACAATTTTCTGTTTCCTGGTACATCTCCGAGTCAGAAAATCGCCATTTTTAAAGTTATACAGCGAGCAACCAACATGATACGACACTATAGAATGTATCGCTGTGTTCCCATGTTGGAGAGACGTATTGCCAGTGCAGTATCGCTACATTGGTCCGCAAGTCCCGGGCGCGTGACCTATATTCACTCCTCAACCAACCTGCTCTATAAAACATGCAGAAAGTTAACTGAGGCAGACACCAAAAATAAAGGGCGCTTTCTTTGCTTAAACTTGGTTCTCCTGAGAGATCCGGCTAAGCTAGAGGCCTGCTGAGTTCACAGCCTGCTGCCCACCACACACACACACACACACACACACACACACACACACACACACACACACACACACACACAGAGCCCTGTCTGCTGCCACTGCTGTTCCTATGGTAACACTTGAGCATGGTGCTGTGATCAACAAGGCCCGGAGCTGCTGGGCCACCATGGCAGCAACCTAGCTGGCATGCACACTCTCGCAGCGGCACTGAGAGAGAGAAGATGGGAAGACAGTGGAATTGAAGCGCATCCACACTTAAAAAGATTGGACGAGTCGGAATGGAAGGAAAGTGATGAAAGGCATGACAGCAAAGGTACAACTGGGTGTGCGCACACACAGGCACGCAGGGACGCACGCACACACCTCTTTCTGACGTCTGCCGTCAGTCTGGATGAAAACCGTTTCTCTTAGCCAGTGTGAGAAGTGTGCGACAAAGCATACAGGAGAAATCAGGCGAGTTTGATAGCCTCCCATACTACAGTAAAGTCACTTAAGCCTCCCAACCTAGTGTAGGGCAGTTCAATCCATCGTAGAAAGGGCTTGATCATGTGAAGTGTGCCGTGTGTGTGTGAGCTGACAAAAACATAAAATCACTCCACAAGTATCATTGGGGCAGGAAAGATAGAGCGCGAGACAGGGGGACATAAAAAAAAAGAGGAGGGGCTATGGGGTGGGGAACAAAAGCAGAAAGAGTGAAACAGAAGGTGCTAGACCTGAAAAAGCGACTCAGGGCATCA